CCATGTTACCCTAATATCCTGACCTGAAAGGGTTTAAAAAGTTGGAATGCACCTAGCTGGCTATTATCGAATTATATCTGGTTTGCTAGTTCAGAGGGATATGATAGAGATCTATAAGATCATGAATGGTGTGGAGAAAGTGAATAAGGAAGTATTATTTACCCCTTCACATACTACAAGATCCAGGGGTCACCAAATGAAATTAATAGATAGCAGGTTTAAACAAAAAAAAGGAAGCACTTCTTCACATAACACACAGTCAACCTGTGGAACTCATTGCCAGGGTATACTGTGAAAACCAAAACTATAACTAGATTCAAAAAAGAATTAGAGAAGTTCATGGAGGACAGTCCATCAATGGCTATTAGCTAAGATGGTCATGGATGCAACTTCATGCTCAGGCTATCCCTAAGCCTCTGACTACCAGATGCTGGGACTAGATAATTGTCCTGTTCTGGTCATTCCCTCTGAAGCATCGGACACTGGCCGCTGTTGGAAGACAGAATATTGGGCTAGATGGACCTTTGGTCTGACCCATTATGGTCATTCTTATGAGACTGTACAATGTAGAGAGCAAAAAACCCAAGTTACCTTATACTGACTGGGTGGTATCATATTGGGGAAACAGTATAATTTTCCTCATTGTCTTCAAATTTAAGAATAAAATATGCCATGTATTTAATATCAACTTTGTTTGGTTTTCAGTACAACCATGTTTTCAACATATAATTCCAGAACTTGTTCTAATGGACAAAGAAATGTTATCCTTCACTTTCACAAGCTGAACACCCTATAAGTATATATCTACAACACAAGAGCTATAAAAAACTTAGAAGCAGAAGTAAGGAATATATTTACTTTCATTTGCATAATCTTACAGTGTAAGAAATTATTCTCAAATTCATGAAATATAAATCAGCAACTATGAAACAAATCTTTGGTAATTTTTACTAAAACATTATTTGAGATTATGTGCAGCAATTCTTATCATAAATATCCATCCATTAACTGAACCCAACTCTTTTAGAGGAGACTACTGATAAACTTACTGTTAATGGTAACACAGTAAGCCGGGCCAGTTTGTTTACCTGCCGCGCCCGCAGGTTCGGCCGATCGCGGCTCCCACTGGCTGTGGTTCGCCACTTCAGGCCAAAGGGGGTGGCGGGAAGCAGCGGCCAGCACATCCCTTGGCCCGCGCCGCTTCCCGCAGCCCCCATTGGCTTGGGATAGTGAACCACGGCCAGTGGGAGCCGCGATCGGCCGAACCTGTGGACGCAGCAGGTAAACAAACCGGCCCGGCCCGCCAGGGTGTTTACCCTGGCGAGCCGCGTGCCAAAGGTTGCCGATCCCTGATCTAACAAAGCTAAGAAATTAAATCAGTGGTGACTAAGACAATTACATCTGTATCCAATGATTATATAGTCTACTAATGAGAGAGAGAGAAACTTGCAATAAATTGGCACAATTGCATGCACGAATGTCATAACTGGACATACAAACTGTGTGTAGTTGATGTTTAAAATCAGGCCTTAGCAGGTGTACACACACACACACACACACACACACACACACAGAGTACCTAAAGTGTATTACCTACTTTAAAAAGCAAATAGGATACACTGCTCAGTCCTGAGGAGATTTCAGTCTAATTTCAGAGATGATGCAATGAGTGAGAGTACCAGCCAATAAGAGGGAGAAAAATGAGAGCAAGGGATACAATAATAAGATTATACTGTTGCTTAGAAAGAACAGGAGTACTTGTGGCACCTTAGAGACTAACAAATTTATTTCAGGCTAAGCTTTCGTGGGCTACAGCTCACTTCTTCAGATGCATAGAGTGAAACACACTCTATGCATCTGAAGAAGTGAGCTGTAGCCTAAGAAAGCTTATGCTGAAATAAATTTGTTAGTCTCTAAGGTGCCACAAGTATTCCTGTTCTTTTTCGGATACAGACTAACACGGCTGCTACTTTGAAAACTGTTACTTAGGTTCATTATATGTACATCTTGATAACTGTGATTTTGCTTCTAAGTTGCACTGGGTGCTCCACAGGGCGCAAGAGAAAAGAAGTAAAAGGATGGAAATAATATTAGAGAAACTAGAGCCCAAGGGATAAAAAGGAAAATGATAATTATTTAGGGCAGGAAAGGGAATGTGGGAGAGTGGAAGAACAGTCATGAGCAGCTAGGAGGAGGAAGAGGATGAGGCCCTGACAGACTAGTTGAAAAAGTGGCCAAGAAGCTAGAATTCCATAACGATAAAATACAAATCAGATTAACAATATTATTGGAATACAAGTTTATAAGGACCCAAAGCAAGCAGTTCAGAGGAACAACAAGAAGGAATGAATTATCAATATTGAAGAATGGAAGTGCAGACAGGAACTCTGTCACTCCAATAGTTCAGTGTTGACCGCAAGAACACGTCTGAAAAAGGGTTGCAAGTGTTTGGTAGTCTCAATTTAGCACTTAGAGCCTTTCATCCCCAGCACAAAAACACCAAACAATTCAGTGCAATTAGTAATCTCTCCTTTGACAAGGATGCAAGGAAGAGAGGCAAATGGCCACAGTCAAGGTTTCAGTGGACCGATAAAGCTTTATCTGGGAAGCTTACATAGTGCCCGTTTCCAGTTTTTAATTTTTCTTTCACAAATGCTATTTGTCTTCTTGTTTCATAAATTTTAAACATACAGGACTGAGTGAGACCACCTGGGTTCTTTTTCCAGCTCCACCACAGATTGCACATGTGATCTTTGACAAAGCATTTAACCTGTGCAACTCAAGTTTCTGCATCAGTAAAAAGTGGGTATTGAATGACACCTACTACATGGGGTGCTGTGAAATTAAGGGATTTTATAAAATGTAACAGGATGGTTGGATGGCAGAATGGCCAGTTGCAAATTATTCAACTGCATCTGTATCCCAGCCACCACACACACTTTTATTGGGAGACGGGGGGGGGGGGTCATTCTTTCTGCTCTTCCAGAGCTTTTTATCTGTCAAAATAG